TAACAAACTTTGGAGCCTGACATTAATATGCATAGCAAAAGAATCATTCATTCTATACCATGGATATATAAGGAGGAACCTTATAAACAGGCTCATATTCAAATAGATCATCTAATATGCACACTGGACAGGATAACATATACTCCCCTTTCTGCTTTGATAAGCATTTCAAAATAAGTTTTTTCCAATAACAATGGAGTAAGAGCAATTACCTAGACTAGCAAGAATGGAGACTGAGAGAAGTTATGAGAAAAAAAAAACACACAGTTAGATATGAAAGTAATCAGTGCAGAATACAGGTCAGCCCACAATTGCTTATCAAAGTCCAAGCTCTATAACGCCAAAGTATAAGTGGTGAAGGTTTGTTGGCCTTGGCCAGAGTCAAGATCGGAATCTTGGCATTGCTTGATCCAGTCCTAATCTCAATAATTCAGTACAAAAGCAGTACATTGCTGATATTAATGAATTTGATGCCAATGGATTGCAACTGATCTCCACTGTCTAGGTACTGAAGTTTAGTCCTTGGAAACTAACTATAGTAACAATACTGGTGATAAATAGTGATATCAAGCAATCATCGCAGCCTCAATACCTGCCATTGCTGCCGCAAAGTAAAAAAAAAAACATAATAAATACTCTGACAAGATAGACTCTGTAAGTCTTGCTGGCAATTCAAGGTCACATAAGGAACTAGTCAAAGCCCAAACTTCCTAGAATATACAAGGTGGAAACTTTGCTTGTGTTTGCAGAACACTAGGTATTGCTGGACCAACTCATAATGGCCACTGGCTCTCACTCCACCAGGTCCACCATGGAACCTTTAGTCACTGTTGCCTGGGATGGCATCTGCATATATTCCAAGTCCTATGTCATTCAATATTTTGATTGGGTTGACATTGATGATTCCACAAGTGCTTAGTCATCAAGGAGTTAATTACTGGTTCTGCTTTTCTCATTTGTTTACATTTATCCTTGACTTTTGTAAAAAAAATAAATAAATAAATAAAATAAATAAATAATTAGATAAACAAATATATATATATATATATATATATATATATATATATATTGCTAGCAACATTTCTAATAACATTGTAATGATCATAATGTCAATAATAACTGTATCAATATCAATAGCATCTGAAAAAAGATTTTTCACAAAAACTCAAGGAAAGAGGAGTCGAGGAGGCAAGGTCACGTAGGCATACACATTGATTCCTTGGTGACTGAGGACCAACGGAGCTATTATGTGTAATCAAAATTCCTAAAACAAAAAAAACATAGGACATTACATATTCCCCGTGCTCTCTCCAGCCATCAAAGTCAATAGTGACACTACATTACAGTTGGTTTACACTGACTGAAACTGCTATACTTGGAAAGTGGTTATGCCACTGAAACCCCCAAAATACCCACAATATTAGACCCAGAAGAGATGGATGGTATTGGGAAATTGCGGGGGTAAAATATGAATAATATACAGAGATTAGGTCACTTTATCCGTTAACCAAACTTGTTGAAAAAAATACCATATATACTCTATAGCAATACCTAAAATCTCTATTAGACGGATCTTTGAATTCCTTCTTAGTTTAGTGGGATTTTTTTTTCTAAATGCTCAGTCTTATCTCTGCGTCAATCTTGCTGCATTCTATAGCATTCACACGGTATTCTGAAGTGTAGCTAGTCCCTGGTCCCCCCTTTTGTAAAGTCCTAATGGCAATAACTGCACATGATTGTGTAGAAGTAGCACATGTCATCACAGGCTTCCCAGTGCCTAACCTGACCACGTGAGGTATTTTGTATAAACAACTGCTGCAGCTGTGATTGAGAATTAATTTTTTTCATATAATGTTATTAGATATGAAAATAACATTTACCATTAATTGTGTCCCCTTACTGTGTGATGAGGGCGTACGTCTGCAAGATGGTGTCATGCAGGTAGGAGGCGGCAACAAATTGCTCTGATTTCTGATGGTTTTGTCTCCCAGAGTCCCAGTCTTGGCGATCAGCTGATGGGTAAACAGAGTTGCCAACTAGCTACCAGAGAATGCCAAAATAAATTGGAAAAAATCCGAAGAAAATAAATTCGTCGAGTACATTTGCACAGACGCGATAAAGTAGATTACAGGAGATTTTATCAAATTTTCAAGCATTTTTGAAGAAAAAAAATGCGACAGCCCCCTTAAGTCCCAGATGGGGGGGGGGGGGTTAAATTGAGTTAGCTTGCATATAGTATAGGTACATGAATCAGGAAACTACAAACGAGTCCAACTATGGCTAAGTCTCGGGCCGCGCACAAGACCCGCTAAACACCTGGGGAGGTACATCACTAATGAGTGCCCAGGTACACCTATGTGAACTTTAGTTTGTTGCAATCATACAAACAGCATTTGATTATGGCATTACACACAGATATGAGTTTGTGAATGTTCAAAGAACACTTTTACATAAATATCAGAAAAAAATGACATCACAGTGATTTATGACAAAATATTTTGTGAAATATATCTAAAAGTTTTACATCCTTTTACAGATGAAATATGTTTCCATCGAGACTCCCCTTTAATATGTTGTAGCTCACAAAGTAATCTGTATGTATACCGAGTACAAAGCACTAATGTTTGAAAATAGCCTTATAAGAAAGGATAAAATTATTTGCGTTAAATTCGCTCAACTGTCGGTACATTACGGCATCGGTAAATTTGATTTGATTTAAAATTGGAAATTACTGTTGTAAAAGGCAATTCAATACGAAGGGTCCCTAAGAGTCAGATTTTTTAACTTCAGAGATATAAGTGAGATACTAATTATTTCATATTGAAGATGATAGTACACAGTAATAACCGCTCTGAAATAAAAACTATATGGAACTTTTAACTTGTTTGTGTGCGCAGACTTCGTCTAGAGTAGAGAAAGCAATTGCATCTGTTTCGTGCGTTTCCGATAAAGAATATTACGTTTAGATGTTACCATAGGTCTTAGGTACCATAAATTCGCAAATATCCAACCACACCTAGGCATCTGCATGAATTTATGCGCTTATTAGTAAAAATAATAGGTGCAAATGGCTAAGCAACATCTATACACTCGTTCCCTATTGCAATCTGTTATTACTGACAATTATCAAGGAAAACAGCTTGATAGGGATAGCTAATATATTTTATTCCTTTATATACAAAAGAAGATGTAGGCCTACTAAATGAGGATGATTAATTTCTTCTAACTTTATATGCATGTGTTTAACTACTTCGGTAAGTTCTCAAATTCCATGTCAATCATATGCTTTTAAAATTCTCAAAAATGAACCAGCAAGTTGTATTCAAGCTAGGACTAGGATGATTTTGTACTGATATTACCATCCACAGTTCTCCATTTCTTCAAGATTGAAGTATAAAAAAAAGTCTCTATGGTCCAATGTATTTATTAAACTTTTCAGACAAATATATCTACTTTTATAAAAAAAAAAAAAAAAAAAAAAAAAAAAGGATATACCTTGACAGAATAGCATCCCTATTGAAAATTATAACTCCAATTGACTTGGTAATCATCGCATTGCAAAGTACACTAAATAAGCTTATTATTTATATACAACATCGTTAGATTTAGAGAAAAATAGCAGATAACAAACTTTAGCAAGAGTCCAAAATATAAAATATCATATCTCCATTCTTTGTTTACATGATCTTTGGCACATCCCAATTCTCGTAACTTTTGTGCAATTTAAATGCAGTTTGTTGCTTTTGCCAGAGCCTTGGAGCCCTGAGACCATGTAAATGGCCGATTTTTAAATTTTGATCTTAATCCAAAAATACAAAATTTTTAAAGCTGATAAAACAGACCAAAAAAGTACTTTATATCAACCAGTCCCCAGCCCCCCCCCAAAAAAGGAAATTCAAAATTTGGCCATTTACACGGCCCTAGGCTTGGGTATATCTAACAAAAGTATCTTTAGGGAATTAGTCAGGAAAAAACTGTGGGAGTTGGGATGTAAGAAAGAAGAAAAAAAAAAAAAAATCAACTTTTTGGAGGAACCAAGGTTAAAATCATATATGAGACGTAGAGCAATTCTATCTCAATCTCAATGTTTATGCATAGGGCACTAAGTGAGCGCATAACACGCATATACTCCATATCATGCAAAAAGAATCAAAGAGTTATCTCCAACCAATTTTTTTTATGATGAAATGAGTAGGGAGAGGTGTTCATTTCCCGGGACAGTCCCCCTAAATATACGTGTAACAGCAGATACTGATAATTAGCCAATTATCCTTTTGACAAGTGTATAGTAGCACATAAACTACTTTGGATATCAC